TATGTCTTTTTCTTCAAAAATGCCCGAGAATGTCCAGCATTTTCCTGTTTCCATGCACTACACACAGGAATATTAATATAATAAAGCCTAGTACAAATGATTTATGCAAATTCTGGTAAGATTTTACTTGCTATTTGCTTCATTGAAAGGCATCCTTAAAAATATTCCAGGGGAGGGGGCTGGCCCCGTGGCCGAGTGGTTACGTTCGCGCGCTCCGCTGCAGGCGGCCCAGTGTTTCGTCGGTTCGAATCCTGGGCGCGGACATGGCACTGCTCGTCAGACCACGCTGAGGCAGCGTCCCACATGCCACAACTAGAGGAACCCACAACGAAGAATACACAACTATGTACCGGGGGGCTTTGGGGAGAAAAAGGAAAAAATAAAATCTTTGAAAAATATTCCAGGGGATATAGGGAACGTATTTGTCTCTCAAATTTACTTAAGACCATTAACCTTCTATAATTTTATATCACAACATGTCCTACACACCTATGGATTCTAGCTCTTGAGAGGCTGTCTTTGAGTCAATGTTATAATCCTAAACAGCTTTCTCAGGGCCTCCTTCATCTCCTTATTCCGAAGGCTGTAGATCAAGGGATTGAAAAGTAGAGTCATCACAGAATAAAATAAAGTTACAATTTTCTTAGTTCCTGCTGGATTGCCTGCTCTTGGGCTCACATACATCACTGTGATGGAGCCATAGAACAGGGACACCACCGCGTGACAGAAGCCACCTGTGGAGGAGGCGTTATGCTGGCCTTCTGGTGAGGGGACTCTCAACACAGCTCTGACAACCAGAGTGCAGGAGTTGGTAATGAAGAGGAAAGTGGAGAAAATTATGATTTAAGTTAAAGATGGCACAGACGATCTCAGTGGCAGGAACTGGCACACAGGACAACCTCATAAGGAAGCAACTGTATTGGGGCCACAAAAAGGAAACTGGGAGATGAGATGCCCTGGGAGGAGAAGACAGGAGAATCCATACACCCATCAGCAGACTCCCATTCTGATGCAGCATTGAACTGTCATGACAGTGGGGTAGTGCAGGGGCCTGCAGATAGCAAGGTACCTGTCAAAGGCCATGGCAGACAAGAAGAAGGTCTCACTGGTGCCCATGGAGAAGAAGAAGTAAAACTGGATGAAGCAGCCAGAGGAGAAGGTGTTGTTCTCAGAGAGAAAATTGGCTACCATATTGGGGACAGGAGAAGTGGCATGCCAAATCTCTAGGAAGGAAAAATTGGCCAGCAGAATGTACATGGGGTGTGGAGATGGTGGTCCCACCACACTTTACAGCTAATGCACGGGTTTCCAATTAGTGTCAGGACATAGATCACAGAGAAGTGTGAGAAGAGGAGGATCTGAGTCTCCCAGGTACAAGGGAATCCGAGAAGAATCAGTCACAGGGTCACGGTGATTACTTGCTCTTGGGTTTTTCATTTTTTTCTCCTAAAACTGTAATAACAAGACATTACCATATTAAAGAAGTTTTTTCACTAAGATATTCTCTGAATTTCTTTACAATTCAATTAGCAGCATAGTTTTAGATTACTTAAAGATTATCGGCATTATCACTGAATGGCACCACAATTTACTCAGTTGCTCAGGCCACAAACTTTGGCCATAACTTACCAGCTCTCTCAATACTCTATATCCAAACTGTAAAGAAATTCTCTAGGCCTCACGTTCCAAATATTCAGCATCTGAACAATTTTTAGGATTCATATCAGCTTTTACTCTGGTCCATGCTACCATGAAACTCTCATTTAAACTGCTACAAATGTCTCCTAAGTTGCCTGTTTGTTTTTTATATGCTTAGAGGCTATTACCCACACGGGACTAGACTGGTAGTTTTTTAAAAATCTGATTATGTCAACTACTTGCTCTCAGTCTTTTAAACTCATTTAAAAAAAAAAGCAAATTCTTTACCACAACCTATATGGCCAGTGACGTCTTCCTCCATGCCATGGTTTCCTACATTTCTTCCCTCTACTAACCCCACTCCAGGCATGCTGATACGGTGACTCCCCTCCTTACCTGCAATTTTGCTTTTTGTGGTTTCAGTTACCCACGGTCAATTGCAATGCAAAAATATTAAATGAAAATTTCCATAAATAAACAGTTCCTAAGTTTTAAATTGTGTGCCATTCTGAGTAGCTTGATAAAATCTCATGCCTTCCCACTCCACCTGCCCAGGACATGAATCATCCCTTTGTCCAGCAAATCCACACTGTATACGTACCTGCCCGTTAGTCACTTAGTAGCTGTCCTGTTTATCATATTGACTGCTGCAGTATTGCCATACTTGTGTTCAAGCAACCCTTATTTTACTTAACAATGGCCCTAAAGCACAGGAGGTGTGATACTGGCAATTCGCATACGACAAAGAGAAGCAGTAAAGTGCTTCCTTTAAGTGAAAAGATGAAAATCTTCAACTTAACAAGGAAAGAAAAAAAAATCCAAAAATCAAAATTTTTTTGGTTTCCCAGTGCGCATAAAGGTTATATTTACACTGCACTGTAGCCTAGTAAGTGTGTCATAGCAGTATATCTTTTTAAAAAAAGCCAATGTACATACCTTAATTAAAAAATACTTTATTCCTAAAAATGGTAACCATCATAGGAGCCTTCTGTGAGTGGTAATCTTTTCCCTGGCAGAGGGTTTTGCCTCTATGTTGATCGCTACTGACTGATCAGTGTGGTGGTTGCTGAAGGTTGCGGTGGCTGGGCAATTTCTTAAAATAAGACAACAATGACGTTTGCTGAATCTATTGACGCTGTCTTTTATGAACGATGTCTCTGCAGCATATGATGCTGTTTGATAGCACTTTTTACTTACAGTGGAATTTCTTTCAAAATTGGAGTCAATCCTCTCAATCCCTGCTGCTGCTTTATCAACTAATTTGTGCAATATTCTGTATCCTTTATTGTCATTTTAACAACCTTCAAGGCATCTTTACCAGGAGTAGATTCCATCTCAAGAAACACTTTCTTTGCTCTTCCATAAGAAGCAACTCCTCATCCATTGGTTTTATCATGAGGTGGCAGCCATTCAGTCACATGTTCAGGTCCCTCTAATTCTAGTCCTCTTGCTATTTTTACCACTTCCTCCACTGAAATCTAGAATTCATCAAAGTCGTCCATGTGGGTTGGAAACAACTTCTTCCAAACTCCTGTTAATCTTGATATTTTGACCCCTTCCTATGAATCACTAATGTTCTTAATGGCATCTAGAATGGTGAATGCTTTCCAGAAGTTTTCAATTTTCTTTGTCCAGACTCATCAGAGGTATCACTACCTATGGCAGCTGTAGCCTTATGAAACATATTTCTTAAGTATTTAGGCTTGAAAGTTGAAATTACTTAGTGATCCATGGGCTGCAGAATGAATGTTGTGTTAGCAGTCATGAAAACAATATTAATCTCATTACTCATCTCCATCAGAGATCTTGAGTGACCAGGTACATTGTCAATGAGCAGTAATATTTTGAAACGAATCTTTTTCTGAGCAGTAAGTCTCAATAGCAGACTTAAAATATCTAGTAAACTATGTTGTAAAAAGATGTGCTGTCATACAAACTTTGCTGTTTCATTTATAGAGCACAGGCAGAGTAGATTAGCATAATTGTTAAGGGCTCTAGGATTTTCAAAGTGGTAAACGAGCACTAGCTTCAACTTCAATTCACCAGCTGCATTAGGCCCTAACAAGAGAGTCAGCCTGTCCTTTGAAGCTTTGAAGCCAGGCATTGACTTCTCCTCTCTAGCTATGAAAGTCCTAGATAGCATCTTCTTCCAATATAGGCTTGCCTGTATAACCAGAAGCATTTTTATATATTTTATGGTAATGCAGCTGTGTCTCCTACAAAAGAGATGACATTGGATTTAGGAATAAAAATGTAAGAGCAAAGGGTTCAATGAAGCTACGGGATGTAAAGACAGAGATTAGTTATCTCAAAAATTTACAAAATACTTCTAAGGCTTCCACCATCTGTTCCCTCCTCTCCTCAATTCAACACATATACCAGCCCCAACTATTCTGCGGTAATGTTGGGACTTTTGGTTCAGTAACAACTGTAGGGGAGGAAGACATTTCCTCTTCCCAAATGTGGGTTCATCTGGCCGGAGAACGAATTAACAACAACAAAAAAAACTCACCACTCTTGCTTCCATTGGAGCCTGCAGGCAGAGATCCGGGAGACTGACATGGTAAGTACTCTTACCGCTTGCCGGCTCTCGGCAGGAGTCCGGGATCTCTCAGCCGCAGCAGTCCAGGAGCACGCAATGTCCAGCCAGGGAAATTTCATCCTGCCGACTGCGCCAAAACTGTAGGGGAGGAAGACATTTCCTCTTCCCAAATGTGGGTTCGTCTGGCCGGAGAACGAATTAAATTCACATGAGACAGAATAGCAAGAGAAAATTAAACAAAGCTTTATGAGGAACCATGGCCCGGGGCCTTTCTTCCCGAGGGAAGAAAGGGCACCAAAGAAGTCGGGTGCACAGAGTGGTTATATACCCCCAAACAGGGTGTTGCACATGTGATTGAAATGTCCCTCCCACAATAGTCACGAGATTGCCCTGTCGGCACAGTGCTTGATGGACACAGTAGGTAGTGGTCTGCTATCTCGGTGGTGGGCGTAGCAGGAGGCAAGTTGATTGTCTGGAGCTGGGCGGTCACAGGTGAGCGCAGCAATCAGTTCCTAGCCTAAGGAAAGATGCTTAATCCTTAAAGAAATGCCAATGTTGGGAGGGAGAGGGAAGTCAGTTATAGGAGGTTACCAGACAAGCACAATAAAATGCAGATTTAAGTCCTTGCCTTTGGTATTGATTAAGAGTTTCTAGAAAGAAGGTCATCTCCTTTCTTCTTCCTGGTACAGAGAGGGAGGCACCTTTTACAGACAGAGATTTACCTTACAAATGTAAATGTGTCCTAACAAAGGGCAAGTTCCATTCCTCAGAGCCTCCATTCCCTGTCCCAGTTTATCAAAAGCAATCAGCCTCAAATAATCCTGATGCCAAAGAGACATATCTTGGGGTGGCCAATTCCAGGTCCCTACACAACTGTTCCATTGACTGTAAACTATTGCGCCACTTGTTCTGTGAATTTGTCCTTTCAATCTCAGTTCAGCCAGAGAAAAGTAAATTAAACTTTTAAATCAACATTATGACTACCACAGCTAAAAATGTGACTTTAGAATTTATAAATGGACGTAGTGATCTAATCCTGTTTTATTTTATGAAGATCAGATATAGAGACCTTCATAAGTTTTGGGTCTCATAATTGAAGAGGTACATGGGCAAACTGCAGTGAATTTGCAGGATGCAACTTAGAAGGGCTTAAAAGTATGAAAAATGAGTAACAGTGGATGGAGCTGAGATATTTAAATTGGAGAACGAAAGACTCTATGGGAACAAAGGAAGGGTAATCACTTAACAGAGAAATTCAGTTTGCCCTATTTAACCCCCAAAGCACAGAGTTAAAAATAATAGTCAAAAGTTACAGGGAGACATATTGTAATTCAACATGGAGAATAACTTTCTTCCAGAGAAACCTCTCCAGTGATGGGATAAGCTGCTTCAGAAGATTGCTTTCTGTCAAGGATTTTGTCCAATACAGGCTGAGAAAGTGGTAGAGGGGATTTAAGCATCAGAAGTTAATTTCTTTCAGTCCTGAAATTCCATGATATGCATCTCAGATGTATCAAGAAAAGAAGAAAACCTCTCCAGGTAACTTCAATGATATAAAAAACTGTAATGGAAAAAAAGTTAATGAGAATTTGAGGATTTCATTAACACTGATAAAAATGAATAGTATTTTCCAAGGATCGTTAGTTGACAATAGATGAAGGGAAAATAAAAAGAGAATTCTAGACTGTGCCTTGCTCAGCAAAGTCCCAAAGTTATGCCAATGGACTACAAATAGTCCAACTCTATTAATTGAAGAAATTGGTATTTTTTTCTGAAAAATGTGTGTAGAAATCTCTCAATCTCTGAGCTAACATATGAGTAGATCCTTAGTTTGGTCAAAGATGATTCTTCAAGGTTTGTTTAGAGGGTTCAGAGGATTTTGGGGCTAAACAAGGGAAAATATGACCATGAGGTGGGAATGGCACACACAAGTTTTATTTGGGGACACTGTTTTGACAGATTTGTATTCAGGGGAAATCCCTCACAGCATGAGACCTTCCAGAGACTATAGGCGAGGGGGCGCCACTGCTCAGAAGGGGAGGAGGACTAAGGAACTCCCAGGAGAAAGAGGGGGATCAGAGAGATGGCTTACCTTTCTAGGTGAAGTCAGCCTGAGGGTGAGGACGTGCTACGTTAGAGAGTTCCGAAGGGTAGTATTATCTTGGAGTCTGTCTTATCTATGGGTAGCAGATGTTAGACATAATTTCCTGAGGTCTGTAAAGCAGATTAAAAATCTGCTTATTGGGACTATCTCTAAAACAATTGGATATGTAAAAATTTTGACACCTGTAGGCTTTTGAGCTAACAACATTCAGCCTGCTGTGAAGAAGTAAGCAACCTATACAGAAGCTATCTTTGGCTCATTTACATAACAGATGATCTTTGAAAGTTTGTGATGGCTTTTTCCTCTTTTTCCTGTGTTTATCCAGATTTCAGCATTCATGCTTTCTCTAAAGCTCCCATTGTGCCACCATAAAGTAGAAAATTACTTAAACTGGTCTACAGGAGAGGTGTTTAGTTTTGAAACAGAATTTATTTTTTTTGAAAGTAATACATGCTTATTTTAGAAAAAATGAATAATACAGAAAAATAGAAGAAGTTTAAATCATCTACAATCTCATTTCTAGGGCCATTTCTAGTCTTCTCTCTCTTCATATTTCATAGATTAGATAGATATGGAACTTTTTCAAAATTAGAGTCAGGCTACATACAGTTTGTCAATATCTTTGTTTATATTGTATGATGAGTCTTTTCCCATACCACTAAATATTTCCCTGAAGCATGATTCTTAATGGGTGCAGATATTCCATATTTATCAATGGACCTTAACTATCTTTCTGTTTGGGGGCACTTATTATTTTATTCAAATTTTGTGGGAATCTGTGATTTTTATTTCCTTATAAAAAATTCTTGGAAATAGATCACATGTGAGTATTTTTAAGACGTTTGCCACAAGTTTGCCTATTTTAACTTTGTAGCAAGGTAAGTTGTCACCGGTTAGAGATACCTGGAAGACAGTAGAGTGGAGAGCATACAGTACTGGATTGATCTAAACTTTATGATACACTAGCTGTGGCAGGGTGGCAAAGCACTTAACTTTTATGTGCTTAGGTCTCCATGGGTAATATAGGATCAAAACTATTGTTCTCGCCATGTATACTGTTATTGTGAGAGCCTCATGAGTTAGGGAAGTTCTTTGACTTTTTGGACCTCCGGTGAATTGCAAACATGGTTTCAATCTAGCTTCAGAGCACAGAAAAATAGCTCATTGATTCTGGCTCCATTCCACTAGAATAAAGTAGATTTTTTTACCAAAAATAAATACATTGCTTTCGTCAGGCAGAATGAATTCATTACAAAAAATGCAGACATAATTCTAGAAAACATTTTTGTGTATTCTTTTTTAGGGGATGCCTTGTGTTGAGAGGACTAGTAGGTATCAGAACTGTTTTAGTGAATGAATGCCTTGTTTCCAAGTGCTTTCTAATATGTTACCCCATTGAGATTTGTTGTCTGCATCTATCATTTTTAGTGTGGAAAACGGACTTGAGCTAAGCATTGCCTACAGACTGCCTTTCTGAGCCTGTCTTCCAGTGATGGGATGGCATCCAGGGCCCTGCTGGGAGTTATTCCTGCATGTCTGAATCTCTCTTCCACAACTCCTAATCCTCTCTCTCTTGCCCAGCTTTCCTTAACCTTTTCCGGAGTTTCTCAGAGAAGGCATCCCACTCAATCCTTCCTTGGGATACATCGAAGTAGTCCTCCTTCTGCAGCCACCGGGCAAGGCGGTGATAGCTGTGAAGCTGCCGCCGATCAATAGGTTCCAGAAACAGCAGCAGGAGGCGAGCAGTCCCAGGCTTGGCCATCAAGTGGTAGGTGGCAAGCCTTAACTCCAGATTGCACCAGGGACTTCCCAGGGCCTGGCAGCTGAGCACACAGAGGGTGGCTCTACTGCTTTCCATGCTGGCAACCATAGCATCCATCCTGTCCTGCCCAACCCCAAAGTCCCTCTCAGGCAGGCATAGCCTCAAACCCTCACCAACTGGAAGAGGCTTCTCTAGAGCAGGAACCAGTTCTTTCAGCACCCAGGCTCGGTCCTGCTCACAATAGGATATAAAGACATCATAGTGGAATTGGTTTCTGGGGCGCCACCCGCCCAATTTCCACCACCAGGCATGAAATAGGGTCTGGAGGTAATGAAGCCAGGGCCATTTGGGACAGCCAAGCAATGAAAGGAAGATCAGCAGGAACACCAGAGTGAAACTGGTTAGAAAGCTCTGAAACTCAGGATCATGTGAGCAGTGACCAGAAAGGAAGGAGAGCAATGGCGTCTTGGAGTAGTCAGAGGCATTGGCCATGCAGATGGACTTCTCCAGTCCGTACACAAAAGTGTTTGGGGCTTGTGTTGCCCAAGGCCCCACCCAAGAGCTTTCGCACTGGCAAGTGAAGGTGATATCTGAGAAATAAACGTATTGAGGCATCTGGGGAATTAGTTCCTGGAGGCTGCTGTCCAGCCCCAGAGCCCATTCAGAATTGAGCAGCAGCAGCCGAAGGGGCCCCAAGCCCCTGAAGCTGGAGGCAGAGAGGTTCCCAAGGTTCAGGTTGCTCAATACCAGAACCTGTAACTGAGGCAGCTCCTTCAGTAGCTTCTCCAACTTCACTGATGTTGGCTGACAGAGGAAATCCAAGTCCCCCAGCTCCAGCACTCGCAGGCTGGGCATCCCAAATAGATGCAGATCGTCTGCACCCTCATGATCAGACCAGAAGTGCAAGTGCTCCAGGAGAGGGAGCTGTGGGAAGAATCTGTGGGATTGATGGCCAGACAAAATATAGGGGCTGCAGCCTCGCAGAGTGAGGTGACGTAGGGAAGGGAAGTGGATTGTGTTGTTGTCCAATTGCAGCAACATATTGGAAGTTTGTAAGGTAAGGTTCTCCAAGAACAAGAAGGGTTCTCCACTGGGGACTCCAAACTGGATGTAAACATCTGCCCGTACCTCCAAGCTGAGCAGTGCTGGAGGCCAGGGAGGATAGATCTCCAGCATCTCAAGAGAACCCAGCTGCAGGTGGCTCAGCTTCTGGGGACCCTGGAGCTGCTTGCCTGAGATATGCTCCAAGTGGGTGCCCAGGAGGTTCAGTGAGGTGAGAGCAGGAAGAGAGGAGAGCCAGCCTGGCTTCAGCGTTTTAATTTGGTTCCAACTCAGGTCTAGGGTCTTCAGCCACCTCAGTCCCTCCAGGCTTTCGCTGGATAAGTTGGAAATGTTGTTACCACTCAGCCGGAGCTCCTGGAGTTGAGGAAGAGAGGAGAAGGCCCTATAGGGCAGAACACAGAGCTCATTGTGGGACAGATCTAACACTCTCAGATTTGAGCTGACCAGCCCTTCTGGGAGCACCAAAGTTGGGCCCAGTTTATTCATTGACAGATTGAGCCTCTGAAGCTGGGGCAGGTCATTCAGGAACCTGGATGGAAGTAACTGCAGGCCATTGGCATGAAGGCTGAGGAATTCCAGGGACTGGCAGCTTAGGAGATCCTCATCCTCTAGGTTCTGGATTTGGTTCCTTCCAAGGTCAAGAGCAACAAGCTCAAAGTAGCGTGTCACATTCCCAGGCAGTCTTTCTGTCCTTGTTCCCTCAAGGGAGAGGGAGTCCAAGTGGAGCAGTCCTGAGCCTAGGAGGTCTAATGCGCTTAGTGGGGTGCCATCCAATCTCAGGGAACGGAGCTGGAGGCCATCCAGAGCTCTATTGCCCACCTGGCTCAGCTGTAGGTTGGCAGACAGGTCCAGCTCCTCCAGGAAGGAGGTCCATGGGCTGGGGCTGGTTGTAGGAGAGGAACCAGGGACAAGGTTTGGGAAGAGCCCTTGCAGTTCCCGCAATTCTATCAGACAGCTGTGCCTCACGGTTAGATGCCTAAGGCTGATGGGCAACTGGATGTTCTGGCTATAATTCAGGCAGTAGCCATGGAAGGAAAGGGTGTTGAGGAGTCTGAGGTGCTCCAGAGCATCTGGAGGGAGGAACAGGCTCAGGCAACAGGGAGCGTGATGCTCAAAGGAAAGGTGCTGCAGCTGATTCAGTCCTTGAAATGTCCCAGATGTAATGCTGATGGTGCCCAGCTGCAGCCTCAGAAGTTGTAGTGTGGTGAAGTGTCCAAAGGCATCAGCTGGCAGGAAAGGAACTGTGCCCTGGAGGCAAAGTGCCTCTATATCTCGGGGCACTGCTGTTAGGGTCTGAGCCAGGTCTTTAACATTGGAGCATGATGCAAAAAGGTGCAGTCCCGGGGCCAAGGAACAGAATGGGATGTAGTAGGAAATGTTAGGCAATAGGGAGCTGTCTGCTATGGTGCAATCAGGAGCAGTCCATGCCCAGCTCATCCTGCCGAGGCTCATCAAGCCCAGCAGTAAGGGAGAGAGGAGAGTGAAGGACAGCAGAGGTCTTTCCATCCTGGGTACTGTCTCTAGGAAAAGAGGGGGAAGAAGAGGAATGTCATATCCTACTAAAGCCAATAATCCCAGGCCTGGGCCTTCTGATACACACAATACACAATATGTTCTGGGATATATTTGAGAAACCGTTCTGTGATTGCAATATAGAGGAGACATTTGGCCGAGTAGGGGACTCAAGTTGTGCACCCTCAGATGTGCCTGCCTGCAGACAGAAAGTCAGTAAAGACAGAAACAGAGAGAGACCAGCAAGAAGAACCTGCAACTCAAAAAAGAGAAACTAGTGGCACTTTCCAATTCTCCTGCTGGGGATGATTAGCTCAGATTTATAAGTTTTTGGAGGGGAGCCCTCAGCTATGAATGGGTTACTTTCAAGACCAGGCAACAAATTTACTTGTCTTAGTACAAAGGAGATTGGAGGAGAAAGAATGGTAATGATACAAACATAAGAAGACTTGAACATACACTCTTATTTGATCCTTAGCCGTGTGATATATGGGGGCCCAATATTATTATCCTTCTTTTACTCACAAGGCAGTTGAATGTCAAAGAAGTTAAGTGACTTCCTGATGTCACAGAAGTAAAAGTGGCAAAATTGTGACCACAGTCCAGGTTTTCTTCTTCCAAGTTTGGTGGTCTTTCAGTACAGAATCCTCAGGCAGGACTAAGGAAACATTTCAAGTGAATTCTACTGTTGAGTTTACCTTGAGTTTATAAAGAAAGACTCAAAAGTTGGTTGAGGAAAACTATGAAGAAAGTACAGAAAGTGAGCAGGAGAATGAAGAAGTCGAAATAGCACTTAAAGAAAAAATGAAGTCTTGATACTTTTGTGTTCAGAACAAGGGTCCCATTGACCCTTCGTCACTGCTGACTTATTCCTCTCCCATAGTTAGAATTGGAGAATTCCCATTTTGAAATGAGCGGTAATCATGTGTCCCCCATCTAGGTTCCTGAAAAGGTAGAAAGAAGCAGGAGAGCAGACTGATGTTCTGGGAGGGATAAATGCCAGTTAACCACAGTGAAAAGCATCGTCCTCCTGACAAGCTTTGGGCTTACTCAGTAACTCATGCCTTTGGCAAAGGAGGATTTGGTATTAAAAGATACAGAATTTCCTGCCTTCCCCTTGAGTTTGCCATGAGGATAACATGCCTGGGTGATACAAAAAGCTGGCTCTGGAAGCACTGAAGCTGCCTTTCCTCAAGAACCATAGTTGTATGTACCTCAGAATTCAGTGAAAAAAGTTCAGAGGAGGCCTGAGGAGAAGGTGCTGGACATTCATTGATTGGATAACTTGACCCTGCAAAACTATCAACCTCATTGTTGATGTCGCTCAGTATACCTGATTCTGTTTCATTCTATTTCCATGGCTGTTCCTTGAATTTTTAAAAGGCTATTTCTTGCGTCCCCACTGCAGTCTTGACTGTGTCAAATAGCATACCCTGTTATTCTTGGGCTTCCCTACTAGTATGTAGTGAGACTTTAGGGTTTGGAATAGATCTCAGATCAAGGAGACACAATAGTCTTGGGGCACAGATCCCAAGGACACAGGACAATTCTGGGCTATGGAGTGGTCCTTTGTCCTTAGGAAATCAGCTTTGATGGTATTACCCAAAGCACTGCTTACATTGTCCACAAATGACAGTTCCTCATTTGGCCAGTTAAATTGTGGCAAGCTTTAACACAAATGTTCCCCTTAAGCTGTGCCTAGCCCCTGCCCAGCTTGAAGCCTCTGGTGTCCCCTGGAGAGGGCCAGGATCTCTATAGAGGGGAGATTGTCTTGTTTTGCTTTCTTCCTTTTCAATTTCCACTACTTGCTCTTCCACCTTGTAAACAAAGCTTACCTGGCACTGGGGCAGCGATTTGTTTACCTTTCAGCAGAGGAAACGAAGGTCAGTGGAGACAGAATTGAAATTTCTCATGAAGGGCTCTTTCTCATCTTCTGCAGCAAAGGTGTAAAAGCCTTTTCTTCTGTGATTGTTTCCTCCACAATGGCCTCTGCCCTCTTCACACACAGGTGTGACACTCCTGTTAAATTGAAGGTGGAATGTGTCAGGGAGGAGAGGAGAGTTCTTTGGTAACCTCTTAACTGCTCCCCAAACTGCACCATTTTCTCTCTTTTCCGTCTTAACAACCTTTTTTATTTCATAATTTCCTCTTTTCCAGTCTGGCTTGGGGATTTCAGTTCTCACGACTTTTGTATCATATCCTCCTGATGTCTGAAAGAACATGTCTCTTCTTCATTTTCCAGGAGAGTTTTCTTTCTTCCTTACAGTGACTGTGACCCACTATTTCTGATGAGGATTATTTTAGGCTGATTACTTTTAAAACTGCAGATGAGAAGGGGGCTGGTTACCTTTAATAAAAGCAACTCTGAGGAGCAGAGTTTTCTTGCCCTTTGTTGGGAAACATTTACATTTGTAAGGGAAACCTCCATCTGTAAAGATGCCTCCTCTTGTGCCAGGAAGACAGTGGGATGGCCTTATCTCTGGAAACTCTTAATGGGGAAGGCAAGGACTTAAGTTGTTTACTGTCTGGCAACCTCCTGTAACTTACCTCCCCCCTCTCCAACATCCTCCTTTGTCTTTAGCTGAAGATAATATTTAAGTGGTGGCTTCTGCCATTTACTCAATCCAGTTTGATTCTTATCTAAAAGTTATAGAACTACCCAATAACTAGACCCCACCTGCCCTGATACCATTTTAACAACTGTTTTTACATATTCTTTCCTTTGTCTTGTAAAGAGATAATTCACATACCTGTGCCTTAAATTTAGCCTTACTCTCCACCCATGTTTGCAGCAGCAGCATCTCCCCATGCCAGCAGCTCTGACTGCCCGTGGGTCCTGTCCCCATGCCAGCAGCAGCAGCAGCCCTGACTGCCCATCGGTCCTGTCCCCATGCTATTCCACACTATTCTCTAAACAAAAGAGCACTACTGCCAGATGTTGAGACTCCAAGAAATCTTTCTTTTGACTCCTCGGCTCACCAACCCCGCATCATTTCTACCGTTTCTACCTTTTTCCTCTCAGTCCTGCCAATAGTCTTAATATTAAGCTCCTTTGTAGCAGGATGATTGAAGGGGCACCCATAATTTTGGTGGATGGAACTTGACCTTCAAACTGAGGTTAGAAGAGCAGAGGAGAAGGAAGAATATTTCTATCTGAATGGCAGAATCTTCTTTCCCAGAGGATATGAGCCATTGAGAAACTTCTGCAGAGGAAGTCATGAAATCAGAGCCGGGACAGGTTTTAGCAAGTTAGTATCCCAAAGAGAGAAGCATCGCCCACATTCTGATTCATATGATGCGTAACTTGACTGAAACTCTTTTTGGGTATTTTTTTTCCTGCCTCTGTTTTTGGAGTAACAATTAAATAAGCTTGATTATGGAGACATTAAAATATTTCTCTCATCTCTTGTCCCAAGCATTCATTTTATCAAGTATCACATGAGGTGCTTTTGTTTGTTGAGGATTAGGGAAACATTTATATTTATTTTTTTCACACACATTCATGAGTTTTGACTAAAATCTTAGGTTCTGTATTGCCTCATTTTTTTTTTGTTATTAACACATTGGTCTTTCAACCTTTTCTATCCACTAAATGTCTCCTTGCTGCTTATTTGGATGTAAGGATTTCCTTGAGTGTCAACCTGCTAAAGAGGTAGCATTGGGCAAAGGTCATAATTGTATTCATTTTCTTATTTTATGCCCAATACACATGTGGCAGAGTGTGTTAGCTGCATACTTACTATCCATTTTTATTGTTTCCTAACTAATACAACCTCAATTCTTTTCTGGTGGCAAGGTGCCCAGCTTGAAAAATCAAATACTGTAGCCTCTCTTATGCATAGGGGTTATTATGTGACAGACTTCTGTTCAATCAAAAATATAAATGAAGTGTAAGTTAGCCTCTTCCCTGCTGTCTGAAGTTTCAGCTGCCATCTTCAGATAATAAGATGTCTTTGAGAAAGAAAATATGTCTAAGAAGGTGTAGGGGGGAAGACATTTCCTCTACCCACTCTGAATCCTTTTGGCTGGACAATGAATTAAATTCACATGAGACAGAATAGCAGGAAAAAATTAAACAAAGCTTTATAACATGTATACATGAGAGAGACCCAGAAAAACTGCATAGCTTGCCAAAATGGTGGAAGCTCTCACCTTAAATACCATCCTCAGCTCAAGACAAAGGAGGATGTTGAGGGTGGGGGGAGTCAGTTATGGGAGATGACCAGAAAACTACAGTAAACAACAGTAAGGTTATTATGCAGATTTAAGTCCTTGCCTTCTGCATTGATAAGAGTTTCTAGAGATAAGGTCATCCCTGTTTCTTCCTGTTACAGAGAGGGAGACACATTTACAGATGGAAATTTCGTTTACAAATATAAATGTCTCTTGACAAAGGGTTAAACTCTATTTTTCAGAGTTTCTCTCATGTCTGCAGTTTTTAAAAGTAACCAGCCCAAAATAATCCTCATGCCAAAGAGAAGTATCTTGGTGTGGCCAATTCCAGTCCCCTACAAAGTGTTTATCAGAAAGCCAGGAGAGCCAGAGTCCCTGAGACATCTTGGAACTGCCTACCTCTGGATTGCCATGGACTGCCTACTTCTAGAAGTTTGTATGTGAGAAACAAACTAAATCTTCATCTCGCATAAACTGCTATTTGTATTTCTATTATATGCAGCTGAATCTAATATATATGGCAATTCTGGGTCCCTGGATAGAGCTGGAGTTTCCTTTTTGTTTCCATCACTCAAGTGGGTAAAATATGGAGTATCTGAATTATTTAATAAAAAAGTAATTGTTATTTCTTCCAATTCTGGATTCTTTGCTTCTTTTGCTGCAGTTGAATGATCATTTTCTTAAAAAAAGGCTCTGTTTTCATTAAGATGATTTAAAGTATGTATTTTGATAGATAAATGGCATATGTTCTTTAAAAGAGGTGGATATTTGAAACAAGTTGTTAAAAAGAAACAGAAGTAATAAAGAGTAGGTGTTAAAAGCATAATAATTCAAACTCTCTTTTCATGAAAATTCATTCTTGTACTACTGGTAAGCAGGGGGCTTAGGTGAGAGATAGAAACATGTAGATGGGAGGTCCCTGGGGAAAATTTTCCTATTTGGGAACATTCATTGGAAATTCATTCGATTGCATGACATGTCTATTTCCTTTCTTCTTTCTGTTCCAAGCATCTGGAACAAAACCTGCAAAGCCAGAATATACTGCCAAGAACCCCTCTTTCCTTTAGAGAAAGAGCTGATTCTGAGTGAAACAGAAGCACTAGGGAGCCAAATTTACTCCTCTCCACAAAGTGGCTCCCATGGAAAAGTCTTTGAGGAGCCCTGGAAAGGCATATGATGTAAGACTTACCAAAGACAGTACCATTGTCCTTTCCTAACATATAAAGTAGAGGAAAAGCTTAGGTAAGCAATATGTCTAGGAGAATTGCTCTAAACTGTATATCCCTTTCTAAACAATTTTTAAACTCCCCATTCTTTTTAAATTAAATGAGGTATACATCGTTATCATGGAAAATTAGGAAATAAACATATATTAACATAAAAGAGGGAAAAAAGAACCTAACTTACCCATAATACTGTTACTCTATATTTAAGTAAACTTCTATAATAATTGTTTCATGATCTACCTTTTTCACTCAGTAACATAATATTTTACCTATTAAATATTTTTTACATAAATCTTCATGTAATTTCTGTATTGTCTTAAAACAATAGAAAAGAAATCTCTTATAAGTGTTCTACATGCATTTCTCCTCTACAATATTCATTTCTGAGGTAAATGCAGCTTTTTGGCCTGCTTTGTCCTGTAGTTCTGAAGGTAGTTACATAGCGTATAGCTGTAGTTCCCAGGAGAGAAAACATAGCAAAGCAGAGTTCTTAGTGATACTGAAGTTAGCAGAATTGGTTCCTTCACTTACTTCTGTGACCTTGGACAACATATTTGGCTTCTTTGGGTCTTACCTGTGAAATGATTATGAGAATATCTACCCTAACTATGTCATAGAAGTTGTGTAGATGAACTGAAAGAATAAGTCAAAGTGTTTTGTAAATTATAAAGAGCTTTACAAAAGAAATATATTAATAATATTAACTGAAATCAATTGCATACATACTATGTATAAAATCCTATTCTGATTAACCTCCTTTATTACTCACAGCCACTCTGTGACAAAAGTATCATCACTAGCTCTATTTTGTAGATTTAAAAAAGTCAAGGAAGAAAGGCCAAGTGATTTGCACAAGCTCACACAGTTAGTGATAGTACTTAGCTTTGAAACCCATCTATCTGATTCCAGAGTGCTGGCCCTTCTCCTCTACAGTAGTAAAAAGCGTGGGTCCTGTAGTTAGCCCACCTGGGATTGAATACCACCTTCCGCTAAGTAAGTTACTCTTTGTGCCTCTTTCACCCATAGTAAATTAGAGATACGAAAATACTGACCTGACTTCTTTGGTTTGTCATGGTTAGTAAATAAAGTGACATATGTAAAGGACTTAGAACAGTGCCTGGCACAAAACAAGAGGCTCAAAATGTTCATTATTATTACTTTCAATGTTGTCAATAAGAGCAAACCCCATAGTGGTGAATTTGTACATCTAAACTTGTTAAACTAATAAATTCACTTTTCTTTCTTGTAATATTGTTTTCCCATGTGCCCCATGCCCTTATTTTTCCTGAAATCTTGACTATACATAATGTTTGGCTTTATAAATAAATTTTACTTTGTGAGGGAGGCAGTTGCAATTGAGGGATAGTCAATGTTCAGTCAGCTTAACAAGGGTTCCAAGGCAGCTGATAAACACCATGACTCATATCTGAAAGTGAAAAATACTGGCTTTCTTTTTTCATTTCCCTGAGGAAACCACTAACGAGCACAATTATTTTTAACATGACCTTTCTGTGTTCATTCGAAAGCTCAAATACTCAGAAAAAAAGAGAAACACTATCTTCTTACTGCCACCTCTAATACTTTTTTTCTCTCCTCTCTTTGGGATGCAGTTTTGTTTTGAAAAAATATCGTATATAAGTTGTGATGATATGTCAAATAATTCAATACTTTGGAAAAGGTTGTGAACCAGTTAGAGTGTTTGAGGTTCTAAGAAGAGATCATTGAAAAGCTCGTGGCTGTACAAGTGTGTAAATTTAGTAACCCGCGGTAGGAAATTCTGACATTACATTGGAAATATTGTCATCATTAACTACCTGTTCTTCTTCAGCCCTTTGCTTAGCTGATCTCAGGAAACTTAAAAGTCATGCATCCTGGGAAAGGGGATAGAGTTAGAAAACATCCTCAATGGACTAGACCAGTGAGAGAAGATATGGCAGAGT